GTTTTTTTGCCCAGTGGTTAGACCGTAGGCCTGAAGACTGAAGGATATCAGGTTCGATTCCAGCCAAAGGCATGTACCTCTCGGTTGCAGGCTCGATCCCTGGCCCTGGTTGGGGTATACATGGGAGGCAACCAATCAATGTGTCTCCCTCACATTGATATTCCCCCCCCCCTCTGAAAAGCAATGGAAGGAATATCCTCAGATGAGAATAAAAAAAATTTTAAAAAAAGCACAAGAATAATTTTCTCTATAGTGTATACACATATTTTATAAAAAATTTTAATATATTCTATTTTTATATGAAGATTTATTTTAAAATCCTGTCTAGAAAAGTAATATATGCCCCAAATTAAAATCACAGCATTTAAAACTATCTTCAGGACATGTAATTTTCTGTCAGTATTACATTTAAAAGACTGATGAAGCCTATGATGGGAGCAGATATCCAAAGAAGCTAACACTTACTAGGTGCCTTCCAAAAGATGCTTTCACAAGCTGAGAAATTAGTCAAATCTCAGTTCTGGAACGTTTCCCACCTAAAACAATTCAGTTCTTGACCAAGTTGTTCATGGGAAAAATGTCTCAGTTGTGGAACAAAACTTCCATTCTTGACCTGAAAACCCTTTCATGCTAATACATCAGCATGACAAAAAGTGTCTCTCAGGCCACAAAGGTGAGAATGTGCCAGTATGAGTCAGTTTACCACCTAACTTCCAGTAGTTAAGATCTCAGGAAATTGTGCTGTCAATTATTTTTGTGTTGTTTTTTTCCTTTTGTTGCTGGCAAAATGGATGATTAGCACAATTTTAAAACATAAAGAGGTCATCAATAGTGCTAATGTTGATAAGAATGTAAGTCCTCATGAAACAGAAACAATGATCACAGGTAACTGAAAAGGTAGAAAAATTGTTGATTTCGATAAAGGAAAAGCAGTTAGCCAGAGACAGCATTTCAGAGGCAATGATACATGAAAAAGTGAAGATGCTGCATACTGACCTCCTGAATGATACCCCTGGAACAAGTGCTGAAAGTGATTATTTTAAGGCTAGTAGGGGCGGTTCAAATAAATTTAAGAAAAGAAGGGTTAAAAACGGAATCATTTAGGGATCTGGAACAAATTAATACAATTTACATTATTTCTTTCTGTTTGTTTGGTTTTTGTTAACCCTCATCAGAGGATCTTTTTCCATTCACTGCTTTTTAGAGAAAGCGGAAGGCGGGGTGGGGGTATGGACATCAATGGGTTGCTTCCCGCACGTGCCCTTATTAGGGTTGGGGACTGAACCTGCAACCCAGGTCCGTGCCCTTGACTGGGAATCGAACATGAGGCCCTTTGGTGCAGGGGCCAATGCTCTTAACCACTGAACCACACGGGCCAAGGCCAATTTACATTATTTCTAGAAAAAATGATTCCATTTTCGAACAAATCACTTCTCAAACAGCCTTCCCGGAACTCATTAAGTTTGAGAACTGAGGTTCCACTGTATTTAATTCACAAGTAGGTTGCAAGTAAAGTGTAAGTACAATTAGTTTCATTTTCACAGATGTGGAAAAAGGCTCTCTTGTGTAGTAAAGTGCCAGCACCAGGACTCAGGCTCAGGTTACAACTCCAAAACCTTTCCCTTCTTTGACAAAAAGTATTTTTTATATGCTAATTTTCTGGGGCCTGAATTTTTAAAATGTTTACTTTTTTAAGCTATATTAAAAATCAAACAAAAATCCTAAATGCCCAAAGGTGAAAGATGCTAAAATTTGACTCACTGGAAGACATAAATGTGTTCATTAGGTAGTCAAGTGTACTCAATTTTGTGCAGAGCTTGGAATAAAGGTTTGTCTACCATATTTATGCTTAATTTTATTTTTTAAATGTATCACTGATAGAAAAAGAGATTATACAGTGAGTTGTTTAAAAATAAAGGCCTTGGCCCAGCCGGGCGTGGCTCAGCGGTTGAGCTTCGACCTAGGATCCAGGAGATCAGGGTTCGATTCCTGGTCAGGGCACATGACCAGTTGTGGGCTTGATCAATGACTCTCTCATCATTGATGCTTCTATTTCTCTTTCTCCCTCTCCTTTCCTCTCTCTGAAATCAATGAAGATATATTTTAAAAAAATAAAATAAAAAATAAAAAAATAAAGGCCTTCATATGTCTAATCACATAAAATCTTACAAGCTACACAATACAGCAATATGCAGAGTGCTCAATCAAATGCCATAAAGGTACAGGTACATCTTTTCAGTACATTATTTCATCAAGACATAATAGTAAGTAGTGCAAGAACAAATGAAAAGTCTCTCTTAGATGTAATGTTCATTTAACATCCAGTTTTATTACTATAAGTTTTATGTTTGTCTATTATAAGAATGCAAGCACGTTTAAATATTTTCATGGTTCTACACTGAAAAACAATAGTAAAATAGTTTGTTTATGCACTACGTGGATTATATAGTGTAAGTACTGAAATGTATTGCTTTCAGATACAAGAATAATTTCCCTGTAAACTAGCAATCTTATTTCAAGAAATAAACTATTGTATCAAAGATACGAGAATAATTTCCCCGTAAACTAGCCATCTTATTTCAAGAAATAAACTACTGTATCAAAAACAACTATTTTAAATAGAAAATTCTAAGTCAAATGATTGATATAAAAGGAATGCCAGGTGTGAAGCTTAAAATTGCATTAAAAATAAAGTATTTCTATGTTTCTCCTTATGAAAGCCAACTTGCCTGAACTGCAGGTATTAAAAGCCAAAAATGTAGGACTCTAGCCCTGGCTTTGCCTCTTAATTAAGCCATGAATTTGGCCAAATTCCCTAATTTCTCAGATCTCATTTTCCAGGTAAACCAGGGAATAGCCAGAAAATAAAGAATTTCAGGATTAAAAAGGCCTTCCAGATAACATAACCTACAGCTCTTATCATTTTACAAATGTAGAAACAGAGGCCTAGAGGCTTTAGGGAACTGTCCTAAATTCACACATGCGCAACACCAAACCTAATATCCAAACCCAGTACTTATGCCATGAAACAGGTATAAGTTTAAGAAAATACTTATTCTTTATATATAAAGATACCTACTGATTCATTATCAATAGTAGCACGATGAAAATGAAGGCTCTTATTGTCTGGCCCTTATTGGATCATTGAACAGATTAAATATTAATCCAGTGTTTCTTTAAGCACTGTGTACTATAGTAATCAATTATTATATATAGAAATATTATACTATTAGCACTGCTATTAAACTTGTGGGTTCCACAGAAATATTAAAGGTGAAAAGATTCATAGACTCTACTCCACACTTTTCAGATCTTTTATTTAAAATAACACTTGAAATTTCTACTGGTTCTTCAAGAATTTTAGTTTTAAAAACTAAGATTAAGGCCCTAGCCGGCTAGCTCAGTTGGTTAGAGCATCCTTCTGATGCACCAAGGTTGCGGGTTCAATCCCTAGGTCAGGGCAAATACAGAAACAACCAATGAATGCATCAGTAAATGTAACAAGGAAGCAATGTTTCTCTCCGCCCCCCATAATCAATAAAAAAAATAAAAAATAAAAAATAAAGTTAATCAATATTGTATATAATACATAAGAAAAAATGTCAACTGGTACTTTTAAAATATTAGTAAGATATACAAATTTTCATTCTATAACTTGTTAAAGCAACACATGCAATTGACACTACTCTAAGGATATAGATAATACAGGATAGGGCAAAAGGTTTACAATTGTCTATGGAAAATAATACGATAATTAATAAACAGTAATACAAAAATAAATTCTTTTTTTCATACTCACAATTGTAAACCTACCCTGTATATTTTGCCCCACCCCGTACATTTCTATCTGCATAAATTACTATACTTATAGTTGGGATAGCCTTTAAAAAGTGAAATACTTTTTACTTTGAGACAAACACCCATTTTTGAGAATGTGTAAGCTTATTCTCTCCTAACAAGAAATCCTATCAAAGCAAGGTGACTAGAAATTCCTATTACTTGTGAGGAATATATAATAAAGACCCCTTAAAAAAAAAAATTTTGATGTTTCCTCCCTCTGCTTTTCTTTTGGATGTTATGATCAAAGGTATCTGATCATAATTTACATATTTAAAAGTCTGAAAATGAAAATAATTTAAAGCATATAACATCAAGCTGCCCAGGAAGAAAGCTTAAAATTCTATAACAACAAAAACATACTACTTCCCCCACCCCCCCAATATACCATCATTGTTTAAAACTTCAAATGGTAAATTAGGAAGGTATCTTAGTCTATATTTCTAAGTCAAGCTAATTATAATTGCTCAGACTGATTACTGTTGACACTGCACTTTCATACCCTAACATATTTGCTTTTCACTACATCCCTTATGATAGAAGTTATTATTCCCATTTTACAGGCTCAGGGAGTTACAATACCCATCCAAGGCTATATACTCTATAAATTTAAGATTCAAAACACAACCCAAAATTTTATGAAGTGTGGATGATGACTAAAAGCATAGCAACAACAAGGGAAATACCATTTCCTAGGATAGCTGGTAGATGTGCTTACTAAAATGGCAGGTTTATGCACTAAAGTTGGGACATAAAGATTGGAAAGAGTCAGTGGAGTCCAATTTCATGGGTCCGAAATACTGACTCAGAAGGTAAATGTTCTTCCAACAAATAGTGAAAAGCTACCAGGGATTTTTAAATAGGGTGCATTATGAGAAAGAATTAAACCTGCAGCAAGAGGGAGAAAAAACATTTATTGAGCACCCATTAGCATGGCACCATGCAATTTATATTATAAAAGGCTGGAGATGAGAAAGCATGAATAAGGTGATAAGGCCTGACTTAAAAAGTAACTTAAACCCTCAAAACTATACTGAAAAATCATAATTTAGGGAGTAAAAATATGGTACAGTCTAATCAAAATTTATTATCTTACCAATAAGACAAAACAACACTGATCAGCTAAACATCAGGGAGTATCCAATGTTTAAAAATAGCCTTACCTTAGATCAGGTGATTCGGCCCTCCCATATCGATCCTGCCACTTCCCAACGCTTGAATTGGCTTTTCTGGAGGCAGAACTTGTCTGAGACTGAGAAGAGGTGCTGTTTCTGGCGAGATAAATTTGCTATGTTTTTTCTTATATATTGTTGCCTCTGACCCCCCCTTGTTCTCTTTTTTCCCCCCTGACACACTTTTTATAAAATCCTTAATCTTGTTCCTATAGTATCATTCTCCATGTCACATAAAATATTTGCAGCAGTACTAAGACAGCTAGTGGTATTTAAATATAGATGTGTTATCAACATTTTACTAACTCTAGGATATTATTAGAAATATTTTTCAACACAGATGGTATCATGTCAAAATGCAGAAATAAGAACCAATGCTTTCTTCAGGTTATAATATGTAGTTGAGAAATAAATTTCTGAGTTTTCATGAATAACATTAATTTCTGCAGTTTCACAAAATCTTATTCAAAATTTTGGCATTTCTTTCCCTATATTTAGGTATAAGTATTCTTAGTTTTTAACAGTAACACTTCGATGTTTTATAAAAACTTACAGTAAATATTTCATAAAAATTCATTTCAAAATAATTTAACTCTTCAATGTAAAATTCTAAAAATATATGTACTTATATATCTGCTTATTTAGGAAAAAACAAAAACAAAAGAACACACAGAAAGAATAAATCAGAAACTAAATGAAATGAAACTGACTATTGACAGGAATGAAAGAAATAGGGGAGTGACAAATCTGAGTATACTTTAGAATAGCCTTGCCTTTCCAACTATGTTAAATGTTTTATGTATGTAAAAAATAAGTATGTCAATAAGCAGGGAGGAAAAGAAATGCTAACACTGAATACAAACAGAAGCAATAGGTCAAACTGTATTTTAAATGATTAATAAAATGGCTATGAAAGAAACTTTTGAACAAAGGATTTTGACTAAATACCCTTAGTCTAAAAAAAAAAGAACTGCAAAGATATCTTGAACTCAGGCCTTTTGTAATAGTAGGTGTATATGTTCTAATGTATTTTGTGTGTATTATAAAATGAAGCAAATGAGAAATACTGAAGTTGTTGGAAACTAGATTTTCACTGTGGGAAAAGGGAGGTGCAATAGGGAAAGGAAACTAGAACCCTGTAGTGTCAAATTTTGAAAAACATGAATGCTTGTATGACTAAAATTTATAAATAGAACATACACATGGCAATTTCATATTGAAACTGCTTGGGTTTTTTCCCTAACTCTGAGTGCTGCAAATATCTGGAAATAGTGACCCCCAAAAGCAATAATCAGCGCCAACATTAGAAATGTTGGTTTCTAATGACCATTTCCCACTAAAAGGCATGAGGGTGCCTTTGAGAAATGGCTGCTTCCAGGGAAGGAGCAGGGAAGATACACGATAAGCCTGGAACATCTGGTCATGCCAGAAAGTAAAAAATCAAAAAGAAAAAGAAAAAAAAAAGATGAGGACATATCAAAAGGTCACAGAAGCCAGTTTGAAGAGGCTGCCATGGACCAAATCTGGAAAAATTTGAGCATGAATATCAAGTACAGTATATACAAATCATATATATAGTTTATATACCACATATACAAAAAAATCCGTATTTATAAGCCACATACACATACTCTCACACATAAAATAAAAATTAATGAGTTTGGCTGATAATAAATAAATAAGTGTGAGAGATGGGAAAACTCATTTTTAAAACAGAATGCCAACTAACAAATGTAAGAGAAATAACAGTTAGATAATCACTATTTTGCAGCCATTACATTAATAATATATTTTAGCAAAAATTATCAACAGATACTAAAATTCTTGGAAAGTTCAAAGAGAAACAATTTCCATGGTCTCCTCCAATTACTTATTAAATACAAAGGGAAACAGTAACTTGGCAGTGCAGAAATCCTAAGGACACCACCACAAATAAGTGATTATAGTTATCATTACTAATAATGGGACAAAGTGACATCATGCACTTCCAGGATGAAGAACTGATAAGGATAGAACTTCACTTACATAGTATTCCTGCCCAAAAAACAAAACCTGAATCTAATAAGAAGGAAACATCAACAAAACAATTGGAATGTACTCTTCATAATTCAATGTCAACAAATACAAAGAATACCTAAGAAGCTGTCCCAGATTAAAGAAGAAAAAAGAGATAAAAAAGCTAATTGTAATAAATGATCCTGGACTGAATCCTAAATCAAGAAGGAAAGAACTTCCATAGAAGAAATAATTGGCAAAATTTATAGTTGTATTATGTCTTAAATGACATTACTATCTTCTCTCTAAAGTCAGTAAAATTTTACTTTCAAAGATGTCTTTCTAATTTCCATAAAAATAAAAAACAGAAAAAACAAATATTTAGGGAAATAATTCACAATTGCTGAAAAGTATCCTTTTGACCAAGTGAAGATGAATCCAGAAAACAAACTTTCCTAATGAAAAATGAGCACTTTTTTTACATCCAAAAGTGATATGCTAGGTATGTTTCTATAGGGATTGTGTTGGCAATTATCCATTTTTTTAGTAGTAAAACTGCTAATTTTTCTATCATTTCTTTACTTCCTTTTTACTGTCCCTTACCCGCTACTGTCCTCCCATCTCTCCTTAGATCCATGGGCCATCATTACAATCACTCCCTCAAGAACACTCTCACCTTCCTTGTCCTATCACCTTATCATATTTGCCTGGTATAACCTCAACCTCTGTTAAATCCAACTGTAGCTACTCTTCATAAACACATGAATACCTGACGAGGGCAAGAGAAACATACTGGTGCACGCTATTTTAAACCCATGGCCACTGACCTCAAGAAAAGCTGGGAAAGTAGTTTCTCTCCCTGTGTCATCGATTTTTCACTTGACTCATTCCTATCAGCATATAAAATGCTGTAATTTCTCCCACCTTGAAAAAAAAGCACTCTCATGATTCCACATTTCCCTACAGGCACTACGTAAAAATCCTATTCCTTTCCCCTAGTTTATTCACCTCCAAATGACTACTTCAGACGTTCTCCTCTCTTCTCAAACATTCAACACCCCTTCCACTAATCCTCATTTTCACCAGATAAGCCTGCATCCTTTGCTGCTGAAACACTTGACGCAAAAAGAGAATTTTCAGTTGTTCCCATCACCATTATCTACCCATCCACCTTCATATACTGCTTTCCCTTCTGTAACTATGAGTGAATTGTCCATGCTCCTCCTTAAGGCTAAACTCTCCACTTGCATATTACATCCCATCCCCTTTGACCTTTATAAGGCCACTGCTCTAACAACTGTCCCTTCGCTATTAACTCATTCTCCTCAGTATACAAACATGCTGTAACTTCTTTCATTTTGAAAAAAGCTTTCTCCTGACCCTACAATCCCCCTCCAAATACTTTACCGTTTCTGTTCCCGTCAGAAAAAAAAAAGAAAAATTCTCAAAAAGTATCCTTATTTTTTCATTCTAATTCTTCCCATTCTCTCTTGAATCCAAAAAGTCTGTCCAAAAACTCTTTTTTTAAAATCTTCACCTTATACCACTGAAAATGATTCTGGTCAGGATCACCAACGACCCTTCCATTTTAAAATCCAAAAATCATTCTCAGCATTCTTCTTAATCAATCAGTATTATTTGATGGTTAATCACTCCTCCTACTTTGAAATGCATCCTTTTTAAGATATACACTGGGTCTGCTTCCAATTTCACTAATCATTCTTCTCTACTGGTCTCCTTTTACTGTCTCATACTTATTTTTCTGACCTGCAAAGAGTGCTCCAAGGCTCTGTCCTCTTACCACTTCTCTATAAATACTTACCTCTTCTATAATCTAATTCAGTTTCATTTCATACTATTTAAAACAGTGATCACTCCCAAATTTGTATCTCCAGCCCATGCCTTTTCATCTCTGCTCCAGATCCATATACGTACTTCCTACATAAATTTCCACCTGCATATCTAATAGCATCTCAATTTTACTATGTCCTAAAACTGAATTCTCAGTCTTCTCCCTGAAAAACTAGCCCTCCTGTAGTCATTTCTATCTCAGTATAAAAGATGTACACGATCTTTTATACCTTTTGAAATATATCCAGTATTCGGCTACTTTTCATCATCTTCATCATTACTACCTTAGTCCAAGTTACCATTATCTCTTGCCTAGATAATTGCTACAACCTCCTAACTGGCTCAAAATCTGATGGTGACTCCCCATTCATTTCACTTATAGGAAAGCCAAAGCCCTTATAATGCTCTTTATAATTTGTCCCAAGTATTTAAAAAAAAAAGGGGGGGGAATAGGCAAAGTACAGAAAAACGGCTGTTGATTTTTTAAATAGTTTAGTTTAATTATAATAATAGCAAATATCCATAGAGTATTTATTTACTATGTATGTACGTATTACGGTTCTAAAACACTTTACATAAATTAATCCATTTAATATACATAACTACCCTGTGAAGGAGGTATTTATTACTATGTTTTACACATCAGGAAATGAAAGAACGAGATTAGGGGATTTGCCCAAGGACACACAGCTAGTAAGTAAACAGAGCCAGAATTTGAAGTCTGACTCAAGAATCTAAATTCTTAACATCATCTATACTATAAAACACCATAAACTCAATGAATGAAAGTTGACCTCTTTTAAAATACGAAAAAAAGCACACCCAACAAAATACTATATATTAAAAAGATCAGTATTTCTCAGCTATCACAACTTCTTAGCCAAACATTTTATGAAGTTGCATTTAGTTTAAATAATCATATTTGGAAATGCTCATGGGTAGTAATTGTTAAGATGAGAAGAGATAGTCAAATTCTAATGGCTTTGTGACATTTAATTTTTTAAAAATAATACTTTATTAAATTTATTGGACAATAGTTAATATGAACATACAGGTTTCAGGTGTGGGTTTCTGTTAGAAGATCTGTATATTGCTCTGTGTGCCCACCACCCAAAGTCATATCTTCTCCCATCACCAGATATTAAGATCCCCTTCACCCCCCACCCTCTGACATTTAATTTTAGCTGGAAGTTTCAAGAATCTCTATTTCAGGACTGAATTACAGAAAGTCTCTTCCTGCATCTATATATTATGAAATATAATCTCTTATAGCAATTCAAAATAGCAGAATAACAAACCAGAAAACTGTATAAAATAAATATAAGCAAGTAACACAAGAGGTAAATGAACTAGTAATAGTTGGGTTATTGATTATTTCAGGCTCAGAGAAATAACTGATTTAAGTTATCTAACACAAGATTAAACTGCTGACATCAAACTTCACTAGTCTTATCTAATCCTTTATTATTTTCCTAACAGGCTAGCCATTTGTAATGTTGAAATTAAAAGGACATCTTTTAGCATGTTTACCTCTTATAACTGATACTCTGAGGAACTCAAAGTTAGATGTTATCACAACAAGCCAAAGAAAATGGTTTTAATATGAAAGATATCCTAGGCTAAAATTTCAACAATCTCTTCTACTAAAATCAGTAAAATTACTTTAGGCCAATAGATTAGGATTTAAGGAAGTCCAATAATTCTTTATATAAGAATACTAAGCACAGAAAACAGCAAGACTATTGTTGTCACCACCTCTTCTGAATGTAAAATTGTCTCTATACACACATGTAACTATAGTACTATATTTCATTTCTCACTCACTTAGATCTTTTTAGGTGGAACAGCACCCAGATAAGTTTTTCACAAAGAATTCACTTTGTACTACACAAAGTAGAATGTTTCAGTTTTCTGGTGGCACATTCAGAGTTTTTATGCTTCACAAAAGCACTAACACAAGGTGAAGATACCAATGCCTTTAATAAATTGAGTTACAATGGTCTAACTAACCTGCTTGGTGGGAGTCCAGTCTTGAACAAAGAAGGAGGAGAAGTAAACTCAGCTTTTGTAGATGGAAGTGCTGCTTCCTTCTCCGAATTTCCAGTTCTCCCCTGCTGTACCTTCAAAAAAAAAAAAAAATTAGCTTAATTTAATGAAACACACTGAAGGTGTTCAAATATATTTGTAACATCTTATTTGAAATTAAATATAAATGTTTTATTGCTGAATATTTAATAAATTAACCTATTTTAGAACAGCATTAGGTGAAAGACACCAAAGACAGATTATGGGATCGAAATGTTGCCAATGATTAAAAATTTCACACTAAGGTAACTTAAAGTCCAATGAACTATAATTCTTTAGGACATTAATAAATTCCCTAAGCTCACCACATATAAGTCCATGGTTACGACTCCATGTTTCAGAGTTCAAGAAAGCCTTTGAAGGATATTCTCCTTCTACATTCACTATCGTTATCTAAGAAAAACACCAATGGCCATTTTAGCCATCCTGACCATTTTCTATTCAGTGATTTGCTATAACAAAAATATGAATGATCTATCCCTGCAGTACCATACCATTTCTCCCATTTTCCCATCATCATCAACATCCTACCAGTTCTATACACTGGCAACCTGAAAGTCAGTCACCTGTCTCCTTAATACATCTTCTCCCTCTTTATACTCAGTTTCACACCAGTTATCTACTTACTCCATAATTTTCCCCAGATTTGTCCATCTTTTCTGCTCCTATCAGATCCTTTGAGTATGGCCCAGTTATTCTCCTTTACAATGGTGAAATATTTCCTTTATGTACTCTTGCTTTTATATTCACCTTCCTATCTTAAAACTGTCATTTATTTATTACATTTAAACTAAGTTCAAGTTGCTGACCACTTGAATAACATCACACCATACATTGTGCCTATTTGTATTCTACTGCCCCATTCAGACTAAATTCAGCATCACTCTCCTTTCCCCATGAGGCAAAGGCCCAGAGAATCTCAGAAACCTTGACTCTGAGATAGTCAAACCATTGATTCAATTCCAGAAATCACCTCTCTCAAATAATCATTGTGAGAAAAAGAAACCCTTATTTATATTTTTGAGCCATTATAGTCAGATCTCTTATTAATACTGCTGAGCCTAATTCCTAACTGGTTCCTTCATATAATTAGGGTTTTACATTAGCATTTTATTTGAACAAGTTCCACTGCTTAAAAGAAAAATCCATTTAAAAGGCACTGATCCTAATGAGGAATGATAAGTATCAGCATTAAGACGATGAGGATAGAAAAAAATGGATTTGATAGACATTTGACAGGTAAAATTGACAGCATATAGTGATGGGAAGTAAACACAATTCATTCATCATTTACTAAACATCTATCTGTACTAGAAGCTGAGACTACACAGAGAAATACAACAAATCCCAAACTGTGGAAAAAGAAAAACATACAAACAATGAGAGCAATATAATAAATGCTGTAAAAAAAAAATCTGAGATAAAAGATGCTATGGGAATATAGAAAAAGAAATGGATTTCTTTTCTGGGAATGTCAGGAATACTCAGTTGACACTACGGTCTCAACTGTTCTCCTGAGCTCAAATAATTTATATTCAACTTCTTACAAGTCTAATAAATATCTCAAACTTAACATGGTCAAAACAAAACTACTGATTTCTCACTATCCCCCAATCTGATCCTCTCTAAGTCTTCATCACACAAGTAAATGGCACCATCATCTACCAAGTTCTCAAGAAAAAAAAATTTAGCAAATATCCAATACTTATGAACATCTAATGCCAACTTTACAATATATACCAAATTCAAACACTTATCATATGTCCACTCCTAAAAGCAGGTCAAACCCACTGCCACATCTCAACCATTCTAAATTAACTTGTCTTTGTGCTTTGGTCTCACCTATCTGAATTCCATCCTCTGTACATAACCAAAGCAATCTTTATTAAAGTGTAAATGAACACATGTTCGTCCTGCTAAAAATTCTCTAATAGCTTCCCCATGCAAAAAGAGTAAATGCTAAACTTCTTGTAATGGCCTACAAGGATTTACATGGCATGGGCCCTGCAAACCTCTCCGACCTTATTTTCCTCTATTCCTTCCATACTTATCTTTACTATGCCCAGTCATAATGGCTTTTTAAAAATTCTTTTTAACAGCTTTTGCACTAGATGTTCCTTTTACTTGGAATATTTTCTCTCCATACTGTCTCATGGCTCCCTTTTTATAATCATCTAATTATTGTTCAAATGTCTTCTTGGAATGGCATTCTCCAATCATTCCTGAATAATCTCTGTTGTATTGTCATTTTGTATTTTCTTCACAGAATTTCTCATTAGTATCATTATCTGAAGTTATCTTATTTACTGTTGTATGGTTATAGTCTGTTTGCTGCCACTGTAACGTAGAATCTTTGAAAACATGGTCGATGTTCAGTTCAAATCTAAACCCCAAGTGTCTAAAAACAGTGGCTGGCATGCAGTTAGTACTCATTATATCTATTATTTGATTGACTTTGGGAATTAGCTTAAATGTCAGTTCTTCAAAGGTTCTCACAGGCCAGAGAGATTACAACTATATAATTTTTGGCATTATCATCTAGTTAATACCTATCTTACCCACGAAGTCAGATAAACTCTAATACACAGAATCTATGTATGTTTGTAATATTCACCTCACGTCCACCCCCAACCTGAGATGCTTCCTGACACAGTCAATGCTCAGTTAAAAACTGGGAAGGAGGAAGGGAGAAGGGTTGGAGAAGAAAAGTAGAAGAGGAAAGAAAAAGGGAAGAAAGCATAAAGAAATAAGAAAAGATAGCAGGAACAAAAATACATTTTAAAACATGTAAATATTGCTTTTATTTCCTCAATTTTGTTTTCTTCTTGATTTCTTCATAGTATATTTCTTGTATTAAACAATTCTGAAAACCTTCACCATTTTAGCAACCCTCGTAATCAACGTCCATGATCATTATCCACTTGTTTGTCTTCAGATGTTATACTCAGGATTACACAGACTCAAAATTTGTTTAATCAGAACACAGATTATTTTTTCACCTGACCTAATATTTTAAGACACCATGACTGATTTTCTAAAAAATTCATGTCAGATCTTACATATACAAACAAAAGTTGACTGAAGTCTGTAACCTTGAGAAGCTAAATATTAACCTAAATTAAGCTACCACTGTACCAAAAACTTAAATTATTTTGTGAAATTTCCTTCACCTGCCCTTCATAGCATTATTTATAAAAGTGCAACATTATAAACAAAATATCTAAAAATAAATTTGATAATTGTGGCAAACCAAAATAATGGATCATGAAACTATTTAAAGAGTTATTAATAAAAAACTAATAGTCTAGGAAAACGCTGACCACATAATGTTAAGGTGAAAAAAAGAAAAGTAGAAAACCATTAGGAGGTTTCAAAATGGCAACAGAGTAGGTGGATTTTGCTTGCACCTCCACTCAGACTCAAACTGAAAATAAAACTAAGTCGGGAAACAATTATCTTGAATTACCAACTAAAGACTATATGAAGCGGAGACTTATAACCAAAGACTGGCAGAAGAAACCATGAGACTGCACCTGTACAGCAGCTTGCATGCCATGGTTGGGGTTCAGCCTCACACAGTCACTCAGACTGAGGGTAGATCCCAAAAATGAATGAGCCAACAGCAATCAAGACTCAATTATAACAGGAGGGTCCACATAACCCACACAAGGGACATTCCTGGAGGACCCAGGTCAGGAGATCAAGGAAACTGCACCACTGGGTCGCACAAGATAACTACTACATAAGGCCACACCATGAAGACTGGGAGTCATAGCCGTTCTATTTAATACATAGAAACAAACACAAAGAAACAGCCAAATGACGAGACAGAAGGAATCTCCAAAAAAGAGCTGAATGAAATGGAGGCAAGCAATTTATCTGACATAGAGTTTAAAGTAATGGTCATAAGGATGCTCAAAAAACCTAGTGAGAACTACAACAGCATGAAATAAGACATAGAAATCATAAAATATAACCAGTCAGAAATGAAGAATGACATCAAGAATACACTGGAAGGGCCTGGCCAGGCTGCAATGGTTGAGCATCATCCTGTGGACCAAAAAGATGCCAGTTCGATTCTAGGTCAGGGCACATACCTGGGTTGCAGGTTCAATCCCCGGTCGGGGCATGTATGGAAGGCAACCGAAGACCAATGTATTCTCATTCTCTGTCTCCCTTCCTTTCTCTAAGCATGTCCTCAGTTGAGGATTAAAAAAAAAATCCAATTACAAACTGGGCAAAATAACTAAATAGACATGTTCCCAAAAAGACACCCAAATGGCAAAAAACAAAACAAAAAAAAAACTACATTGAAAGGAATAAAGTAGGTCGGATAAAGCAGAGGATCAAATCAGCGATTTAGAAGACAAGGTAGAAAAACAACACTCAATCTAGAGCAGTAAAAAGAAAAAAGAATTAATCAGAATGAGGGATAGTTTGAAGAAACTTTAGAACAACATGAAATGTTAAAACATCTGCATCACAGGGGTTCCAGAAGTAGAAGAAAGTGAGCACAGGAGAGAACCTTTGTGAAGAAATGACAGAAAACTTCCCTAACTTGGTGAAAGAAAAAGTCATACAAGTTAAGGAAGCACACAGAGTCCCAATCAAGATGAACTCAGAGACACACATTATAATTAAAATGGCAAAGGTTAAAGACAAAGAGAAACTCTTAAAGGCAGCAAGAGACAGATAGTGACCTACAAGGGAGTTCCCATAAGGCTGTCAGCTGATTTCTCAACAAACACTTCAGGCTGGAAGGAATTAGCACAAAGTATTCAAAATAATGAAAAGCAAGGACCTACATCCAAAACTACTCTATCCAGCAAAACTATCATTTAAAATTGAAGACAAGCCTGGCCAGGCATGGCTCAGTGGTTGAGCATGGGCCTAGAATCCAGGAGATCACGTTTCAATGGCTGGTCAGGGCACATGCCTGAGTTGGGGGTTCAATCTAAAGTCAGGGCCATGCAGGAGGCAGCTGATCAGTGACGACTCTCTCATCATTGATGTTTCTATCTCTCTCTCTCCCTCT